TCAACAACAAAATTATACAGGTAAAAATGTGCTTGTGTATTGTTTTCTTTGGCAACTGTGGTATAAGCGGGACAACCAGCTTAAACAAATGCAACAGAATAAACTTTGCTGTTATTCTGGCTGCAGAGGTAGTGACTGTGTAGCCGTAGCAAGTTGGCTAGCTAGCAGCAAGCAAGGGATAAAAATGTTGCCACTGAGCATGGCAACCGAACATAAAGAATGAACAACTGGGTTCGAACCAAAAATGGAAATGGCAACGAGATGTATACCAGTAAATGTGTGCTTTCATATTGTTTTCTTTGGCAACTGTGGTATAAGTGGGATAAACACCTCCGTTCTGTACATTACCTTGGAAAAATGAACTCTGCAAAGGGACTCGGCTCCAAGGTAATGTACAGAATGCCGGCGTTTATCCCTTACTTATCCTACATAGTGATTCAAGATGAAGTGCTACATGTGCCTGACTAGGCTACTCTTATACAATTCTAAATAGCCAAAATAGCTATTAAAAACAATTTGTATAAAGGTATTAATTATCATCTTATCTCATAAATCCATTTTCATCATGTAATTCTCAACATATCCCTAACAACAGCAAGTTACAAGGTTCCCCTTTATACACTGTGTGAATATTCATTGGAGTCCGCTCTGTCGCCACGACTACGACTATGAAAGCCAAATGACCAATATTCTAGAACACGTATGTGCATACACATACACGTTTTGGACTCTGATAAACCCTTTACACTTCAGCTTTATTGTATTTTCCCCTACTGTAGGGGAAATTAATCGATTATGCATAAGTACAATAGCTTTGGTCCAGTTTTTTGCAAGTACTCATTAAATTGTTGCTAGTGGTTGTACTAAATTACCCTCTAATTACACAAGTTGCATTTGTTTACATTGTGAGCCTAGCTAGTTAATGTAGCTAGCTAGTAGTAGTAGCTTCTTGACTTCATAAATCTTAGTAAAATAACCAGTGGTGTATAGTCGAGGCCATACAGTGAGGGGGAAAAAGTATTTGATCCCCTGCTGATTTTGTACGTTTGCCCACTGACAAAGACATGATCAGTCTATAATTTTAATGGTAGGTTTATTTGAACAGTGAGAGACAGAATAACAACAAAAAAATCCAGAAAAACGCATGTCAAAAATGTTATAAATTGATTTGTATTTTAATGAGGGAAATAAGTATTTGACCCCTCTGCAAAACATTACTTAGTACTTGGTGGCAATCACAGAGGTCTGACGTTTCTTGTAGTTGGCCACCAGGTTTGCACACATCTCAGGAGGGATTTTGTCCCACTCCTCTTTGCAGATCTTCTCCAAGTCATTAAGGTTTCGAGCCAGACGTTTGGCAACTCAAACCTTCAGCTCCCTCCACAGATTTTCAATGGGATTAAGGTCTGGAGACTGGCTAGGCCACTCCAGGACCTTAATGTGCTTCTTCTTGAGCCACTCCTTTGTTGCCTTGGCCTTGTGTTTTGGGTCATTGTCATGCTGGAATACCCATCCACAACCCATTTTCAATGCCCTGGCTGAGGAAAGGAGGTTCTCACCCAAGATTTGACGGTACATGGCCTCGTCCATCGTCCCTTTGATGCAGTGAAGTTGTCCTGTCCCTTTAGCAGAAAAACACCCCCAAAGCATAATGTTTCCACCTCCATGTTTGACGGTGGGGATGGTGTTCTTGGGGTCATAGGCAGCATTCCTCCTCCTCCAAACACGGCGAGTTGAGTTGATGCCAAAGAGTTCCATTTTGGTCTCATCTGACCACAACACTTTCACCCAGTTCTCCTCTGAATCATTCAGATGTTAATTGGCAAACTTCAGACGGGCCTGTATATGTGCTTTCTTGAGCAGGGGGACCTTGCGGGCGTTGCAGGATTTCAGTCCTTCACGGCGTAATGTGTTACCAATTGTTTTCTTGGTGACTATGGTCCCAGCTGCCTTGAGATCATTGACAAGATCCTCCTGTGTAGTTCTGGGCTGATTGATCATTGCAACTCCACGAGGTGAGATCTTGCATGGAGCCCCAGGCCGAGGGAGATTGACAGTTATTTTGTGTTTCTTCCATTTGCGAATAATCGCACCAATTGTTGTCACCTTCTCACCAAGCTGCTTGGCGATGGTCTTGTAGCCCACTCCAGCCTTGTGTAGGTCTACAATCTTGTCCCTGACATCCTTGAAGAGCTCTTTGGTCTTGGCCATGGTGGAGAGTTTGGAATCTGATTGATTGATTGCTTCTGTGGACAGGTGTCTTTTATACAGGTAACAAGCTGAGATTAGGAGCACTGTTCAAATAAACCTACCATTAATATTATAGACTGATCATTTCTTTGTCAGTGGGCAAACGTACAAAATCAGCAGGGGATCAAATACTTTTTTCCCTCACTGTATGCAACCAAAATCAATTTCATTTCTCATTATTTCAATTCACAAGATGGGATGAATGTATGCGTGTTTTAATCGGCATATGCTTGCTTCAATTATGACCTCATGCCGATTTTCAGATCATCAGAGTACAGTGTTTACATGACTAATGCCATACTCGGCCTTCTACCATAATCAGTTTAATATAAAATTATTAGTGTGCATTTAACCGTACTCAATTGATTTCAAAGGAAGCATTTCCTCAACGGCTGACGGCAATGGCGGACGGCCGATGGCTATATAGTGTAGCAGGGCTGTTAGGTTGGTGCAGCCCATGTGTATTTGATATGTAGCTGTGCGTGCTCTGACATGCACCAGCCACGTTGTGTGCGCGAGCGTTGCAAAATCAATTTACACATGTTATTGAAATAATTTCATCAAAACTTCTCGCGAGCGTTAACGAGCGTCTGCGTAGCCAGGCACTAAAATAGAACTTAGTTCTAGTTTAGACGCTTGACGCGCTGCAAGTCCCGTCTCTTCTTCTTCTTCATGATATCATAGGTGTCCACAAACAAACGTTTAAAGTGCATACCACCACCTACTGTGCTGGAATGTACGATCAATAATGATTTGCCCAATTCTGTACTACCATGAAAATATTATTCAAAACCCAATAAATCCCTACTAACTTCTACCACAAACTCCCCCAAAAAAACTTCCCAACCCCCCACCGCATTAAACTGTATCTATATCATGCTGAAACACTCCACCCGTAGGCTTGTTCAGCATGTCAACAACCAATTTCAACACTAACATCTGTTATCCCGTTATTGCAGTCTCCACAATAACCTTCAACCTGGCATTTCTGCTTTTCACAACCCGAGTCGTATTGATAACCTTACCAATAAAAGCTATGAAGTCAACTTTATTCATTATCAAAGTGTCCTTTGACACCGCACATTCATTAGCGCAAGATTTCTGAACAGGCCTCGGAACCATGCCAGGACCATCAGAAGCACCAGCCCCGACAGTAGGTCCACTTACTACAGGAACATCCATGTAAGCGCCATCAGTCCACACTGTAGTTTTACCAATCTGTTTTACGGCCTCTGCATATGATACATCATGACTGATCCTATATCTCTGAGCCTCTCCAGCCTCTCTCTGCACCTGGCATCCACCAAATGATGCACTGTTGTCACCTCCGCAATTACAGCACCTTCACATTGCTTCCACATTCACCGTAATCATATTCCCCTCCACACTTGCCACATTTTATTTCCTTTACACTGAGCAGCTACGTGTCCCATGCTTTGGCATTTAAAACACTGCGGTGCATATGGGACAAATTCTCTAACATTTAAACTATGAAATCCTATTTATACTTTTCCTGGCAAAACTTTCTGAAACCTTAATCACTGATAAGCTTACACTTCTTTGACCCTCTTTCCTACTGATCAACATTTTGGCCTCAATCACTCTGCGTCCCTAAACATTTTCTTTAATATCATCTGTGGACATAGATGTTAGGACAAGTCCAGCCTCTCCCATCTCGTTATTGGTTTTTAGGAGCATATACCCACGTGGGTGATTGAAAGATGAACAAGGTCCACACTCCAGTCCAGTTGGTTGCAGTAATGCACCTTATAGTTGGTTGCCAACCACCATATAAAATTCGCAGAAGAAGATTGAACAAGGAGAGCTTAATAGAAATTAACTAGGTTTTCCCTTTCATCTGTGGATTAATTGTTGGGAGTAGAGAACACTTGATTTTGTGTGGCTCAAAATTGGTCGATATTCTACAAAGATCCATAATTTTTATTTTATTTCAGGTAAAATAACAACCCAATGTTTATATCCCAGGACAAATTAGCTAGCAACAGCAAGGTAGCAAGCTAAATGTGTTTCTACCAGTCCCCAAATTAATATAGTTGGTTCAGAGTTGGTTTTGATATTTCAACCTGCATGTCCTGATCACATAAGATGTGGATGGTCAAAATCAAAATGCGCACGCGCGTGGCAGGTGTAGTCAGCATGTGAAGTTATCTGCGATCATAGTGGGTTAGGGGTCAGAGGTAGGGGATCAATACCCTGTCACCAAAGTCTCGGTCTGTCTGTGACTGTAAATCCTTGAACCACCGACGAATCTAATGTTTAGTCTGAGGCTGAGTAGCGCTTTCCTCAACACAAGTTCAATGTCACTGTCGTGTCATCGGGAGCTACTCACACCGCTAGCTCGGCGTCTAGGCTTGCTAACGTCAGCTAATTATAATTACAGAAAATGTGTCTTCGGAGTTGGTCTGATAACGACTTGAACAAAGGGCCTACCGTTATTTAGTAAATACATGCATGCATGCCTCCCGCGTGTTCACAATTGAATCGTTGCATCATTATTATACGCTATTTTCTAAAGACAAACATATCCCTCTAATTTAGCCAGCTAACGTTAGCTATTCTGATACTTTGTGTGGGAGTTCTCCTATCGGGAAAGTGTCTGAATATGATATCTGTGCACATTTGTCTCACACATTACGCTGTAATAATGAGCCCCCTGGAGACAAAATAGTGAAGCTCACCAATCACAGAGCCAGACAGCAGTACTTTGTCCCTCCCTCTTCTCGCATAGCCTATCAGACCAGCTCGAAAGGAGGGGTCGGGCTTTCAGACGAAAATCGATTCAAGCATTCATCAAGGGAGGTTGAAACCCGAGGTTTGGGGACGAAGAGTCCTTTTTGGCTGGTTAGTCTGAGGCGGCCAACAGGTCTGTTACACAGAGTTAAACTGTTTCTGAGACAAACAGACGTACACCATGCCAGCAGCAAGGTAAGGACACACTAGACTTTGGAGAGGACCTGATGTGCATTGTGTTATATAGTCTGTACAGTGCATGGTTCAATGCTGAGGTGTTGGTCTATATAGTGGATGGTAGGATGCAAATGTGGTATAGACTATGCATAGACTGTTCAGTGGATAGTAGGTTGTGGTTGTCTGTTTAGTGGATGGTAGGATGCTGAAATAATGGTGTAGCTGGTATGGTGGTAGGGAAATTGGCTCACCACTGTAATCATAAGGGAGCATATAGAGAGCTTGTTCAGTAGGAACCTGTGTGCATTAAGGGTGGGGCGTCAGTGAAACACTGATCATTATTTTATTAAGAACGGGCCAACTCCCTAGAGGCCTATTAACATAGTATATTAATGAAGGCTAGAGTAAGTTAGAACATTTTATTAAAGTGTCACTCCACAATGATACAATTGAGAATACAAAATACAGATTTTTTTAAACTACATTATGGACCACTCAAATAGAGTTTTGAGACACTCAAAAACAATCATAATCAAACATGGTGCATATTTCCTTTAGCGTCATCTATAATACATTTTATTCTCTATAGTATACATTAGTATCAGTTATTATACATTCCGTCATTTATACACATGTATCAAAAACAAAAAGTACAGTAGATAAAAGGACATTTAGGCACTTATAAAGAAACCTCTCCGTTGGAGGATCATGTTACCTGATACATTTTCACACTTTCTACAAGGCTATATGCAGGAAGCAAACAGTCAAAACAGGGGGGGAATAACCTGAACTTGTCCATCAAGAAACGTTTTCGTTGCAAAACGTTTTCTGTTGCAAAACATTTCGCTATGGTGTGCAGTGTGCACTAATGAATACACCCCAGATGTACAGTAGCGAGAGAGAGTTCAACAAGGTTCACCCTGACCCTGCACAGCCTGTCCACTTTTATTTGTTTTGGTCTTGAATATTATACCTAAGCCGTGTGTGTGTGTACTGAAGCCTGATTTAATATGCGTATCACTCTGGCACTGTGTCCCTCAGCAGTGTCAGTCTTTTGACCCGCAGCTGAAACTCTCTCACACACACGCAGGCAGATCTGTTTGTTCAGTCAGTTCTGTTTTACTATTGGGTCTCAGAGGGGGAGGAGAGGTGGGTAGGAGAGATGTTGGTTTAGAAACATATTTGGGATAACGCTTGTCACAAGACTACAACTGTTACAAAATCAAGCTTTGTGTTCAACTCATCCCTGGAAGACACACACGAGCATGTGTGCACACACACACACTGCTGTCCTCCTGATGGTGCCTTTAAGTGAACTATGTCATGTGATGATGCATGAATGAATATAGGTCTTCTATCACATCTCTGTTAACACCATCTGTGTTCACAGTCCATATTCTCACCTATTGACGTTATGTAGCGCGTCAGACTGTTTAGGCCTACCTATTATCCTGCCGTCGCGTGAATGGTACACATATGGGCGGTCAATGGAACGCATAGACTGTTATTCCACCATTTTCTGATGATTTGTAACAATACAAAAGTAATGTGATTGATATTAATCTGTATATGTGTGTTTTACAGCCCTAATTCTCTGTTCGGGATGGGGAACCCCCTTCTGGACATATCAGCCGTCGTGGACAAGGACTTCCTGGATAAGTGAGTCATTGGGTACGGGGCTTAGGTGGCTTTCACAGCTAGATCGTTTGTACCCCCTATGTTTGGTTTGTTTGTACAGGTGTGAACACTATCCACATTCTGATGTGCACCAAACAAGTGCAGAGTAGTTCACTCAAAAAGTGTTGTCTCAGGCCAATTCCATTCGTACCATGGTGCCGTTCGCTGCAGGTCAGAACACAGCCCGGACCAAACACAGGAAAACAACCAAGCATTTAATGAAATGCACATAACTTGATTTCTCTAAAACATTTTATGTATTTCTCAACACCAGTAGGCCTATATATTAATAGAAAGACCAAGGTCTTTGGTTGAAATGGGCACCCTTTTATCATAGATTATTCTAAAATTGAGTTCTTAACACTGGGAGCGCCGGAATTCCATAACTACTAGAATGGCCATGACAGTCATTCTGACCGTTAATGTTTCAATTGTGTAAATATTCTATAATAAATAATAAATTGCAAAATTAATGCATTTATTATGTTAAAATAGGTCATGAGCAACCTCAGGACACCAAATCTAAATTGTAATCAGTCAGAAAATGTATTGATTTATCCAGAAGCGCATAGACTGTAAATACTAAAATAAGATGATAGTGTATTTTCTGACTGTAAGACAACAGTTGCCTACCCATAATAATAATAATAGATGTGGCCTAAAGACCAGAATAAATTGACAAAAGTCTGATGGGTGACAATCAGGGTCGGAAATGAACGTTTTGGTCCACAAGCCACTGTGGCAGGTAGATTTAAAAAATCTACCAGCCACTCAGATTTTTCACCAAACAAAATATGTTTCGCCATAATTACACAAAATATCACACACAAACCGATGAGCATGCTTTCTAATGTTTCAAAAACAATAAATGTATTACTAGTAAGAAGTAATGGGGTGCTCTCCCGAGTGGCGCAGCGGTCTAAGGCACTGCATCGCAGTGCTTGAGGCGTCACTACAGCCAAGGGTTCGATCCCAGGCTGTGTCACAGCCAGCCGTGACCGGGAGACCCATGAAGTGGCGCACAACTGGCCCTGCGTCGTCCACTGTTAGGGGAGGGTTTGGCCATCTGGTATTTCCTTGCAACGTCAACAGTGAAGAGGCGACTCCGGCGCAGTGAAGGCCATATCTCAGACTGGCCAATAAAAAGAAAAGGTTAAGATGGGCAGTCTGAGATATGGCTTTTTCTTTGCAACTCTGTCTAGAAGGTCAGCATCCCGGAGTCGCCTCTTCACTGTTGACGTTGAGACTGGTGTTATGCGGGTACTATTAAATGAAGCTGCCAGTTGAGGACCTGTAAGGCGCCTGTTTCTCAAACTAGACACTAATGTGTTTGTCCTCTTGCTCAGTTGTAATGGGGTATATTGCTTACTTTCATTTAATTTTTGTGACCTGTGTCTTTTAAAGATGCACTAAGCAGAAATCGCTCCACTATTTCCTGGTTGCTAAAATTCTAATAATTTGCCTAATTTCAGTTTGTGACAAAAAAAGCAATTATAGTGTAGAGAATCAATGTACCATCTAAATCGCTGTGAAATATATTTTCCATAACCAAAAATATAGTTTTTTTCAGCTGTTTTGAAGCTCGTGTACAAAACCAAAACAGTGAGGGGAAAAAAGTATTTGATCCCCTGCTGATTTTGTAAGTTTACCCACTGACAAAGAAATGATCAGTCTATAATTTTAATGGTAGGTTTATTTGAACAGTGAGAGACAGAATAACAACAACAAAATCCAGAAAAACGCATGTCAACAATGTTATAAATTGATTTGCATTTTAATGAGGGAAATAAGTATTTGACCCCCTCTCAATCAGAAAGATTTCTGGCTCCCAGGTGTCTTTTATACAGGTAACGAGCTGAGATTAGGAGCACACTCTTAAAGGGAGTGCAAATGGAAGAAACACAAAATAACTGTCAATCTCCTGCGGCCTCTCACCTCGTGGAGTTGCAATGATCATGAGAACGGTGAGGAATCAGCCCAGAACTACACAGGAGGATCTTGTCAATGATCTCAAGGCAGCTGGGACCATAGTCACCAAGAAAACAATTGGTAACACACTACGCGGTGAAGGACTGAAATCCTGCAATCCTGCAGCGCCCGCAAGGTCACCCTGCTCAAGAAAGCACATATACATGCCCGTCTGAAGTTTGCCAATGAACATCTGAATGATTCAGAGGAGAACTGGGTGAAAGTGTTGTGGTCAGATGAGACCAAAATCGAGCTCTTTGGCATCACCTCAACACGCCGTGTTTGGAGGAGGAATGCTGCCTATGACCCCAAGAACACCATCCCCACCGTCAAACATGGAGGTGGAAACTGTATGACCAACGTGGCTGGTGAAATATACATTTTTACCTGCCAATGACAAAATCTACCCGCATTTGGCGGGTATTCATTTCCAACCCTGGTGACAATATTATCAATTATCAAATTGAGAATGAAGAGACTGATGACCAGCGCAGCATACATTGACTAAGAAGGGAACAGAGCTTACCAAATAGCACTTCTTCCATATCCTACAGAGGTCCATGCAGGCCAGACATTTTGATTGCTATACCCTATCGGAAAGAGAAGATTCCAAGGTTTCTAATGAACCTATTTTTGCCAAACAACTCTACAAATTGTGCTGATGGTCTCTGTTTCAAAATATAACTTGTTCCTAGAATAACCATGGATCCATGCCCATGTGAGTACAGGTGACAATCAGCAATATAGCCTTTTGGGAAAAATATCCTTTCAATTTTCTTCTGTTATATTCCATTATATTCTTACTGTAAAATATGTGTTGACTGGTAGGGCATAGCCTGTGACGTCTGCTAAATGAACAAGTTGATTTCATTGGCATGACACAGCCATAGCCTGCTACTAAGCACAGATAAATACAATTATGTCAGCACTAATTGTGAATGAAGAACAGGGTGGGCCATTCTACTGTATTGATCTTTTTAAAGTATAATCTCAAAACAGTATATACCCTATATCAGTCCACCGAATCCAAGCAGTCTTATTAGTCTACTCTAGGCCTACTTGGAGTAGGCTACACAGTGAGAGCGTGTGTAATTTACAATGACAAGACCAAGACTAATGGATAGACATGCTGCGTTAGCGTTACTACAAGATCTGAATGAAAACTACTTTGATGGCAGGGAAGAAATGGATCTCTGATGATTATTCTGAATCATGCTGAATGGTTTTCCATATCTGGGAAAAGATCCATATCGGACAGCAGTTGATCGAGTGTCGGCTAATGTGGTGAAGATGCTTGTGGAACCTTACATTGGCAAGGGGAGAAATGTCACCATGGACAATTTCTTCCCTTCACTGTCATTGGCGAACAAGTTGCTCGCAAAGAAAACAAGCCTGGCCGGCACCATGTACAAAATAGATGGGAGCTCCCTCCCTTTACGCAAAATAAGGCAACTGCACAGTAGCAGTTCTCAATAACAGGGGTGCTGTTCTCCACAACAGTGCTGAAGACAACACTCACACTTTACCAATGCAAGGCAAGAAAAAACGTCTGTGTCATGAGCGCCATGCATCCGACAGTTGACAGTTGCCATTGATCGGGACACAGCAAAGAGAAAACTGGAGACTATTACACACTACAACAAACGAAGGTATGTCACTATTACATAATACACATTGCCATATATAGATACACTTATGCAACGCTCTTCTGTATCAAACGTGTTGTTTTTCCTATGAGAAAATTATCCTCACCTTTTTTTATTTGGTTCCATAGGTCGGTGTGGATGTTTTGGATCAGACGGCTGTACTCGGTGAAAGGTGGAACTCGCCGCTGGCTTGTTGCTGTGTTCTACAACCTGCTTGACTTGGCTGCTATCAACGCACATGTGTTGTTCAAGCAGTAATTGAACAAAACCATGAGCAGGAGAGACTTCATCATGAGTCTGGCACACGGGCTACATGAGAGACATGAGGGCCAAGGCAGCAGCAAAGATTCCACGCGAGCCATTGCGCAAGCATAATTGCACACAGCTCCCGGGGAGGAGAAACTGCCAGGTGGGCAGATGCACACAGAACAGAACCCGCGACACCTGTTTCAGCTGCAAGCGACTTGTTTGTGGGAAGTGTTGCAAGCAAGTGAAAGTGACAAAGATTTGTGTGGTGACTGTTAGGACAAGGGATAACAGCTGAATGAGATCCAACTGTTGCGTGAAGACGCACACCATAATGTAAGCATGAGCGAAGCCACAAATAATGTGTCCAATAACTGACAATAATGTACTATTTTGACCTGTCATATGGACACTTAAATTCATTATAAATCCATTATAACTTTTGTGCTGATTTTCACTATCCACACGCACACTTGGCGCTTATACTGATGTTTAGGCTACTGATATTTTCTTCATTGACTGCGCCTCTTGCTGACCGTGCGTCTTGGTGGTTTGGGTATTTTTATTTGTTTTGTTATAAAAAGAAGCTTTTACTGTGTTCCAACGTATATTTTTTTGGTTTCATAGTTGTAACAAAGGCACTCCACAAATAAAATGTATTTGACACTTGAAATTCTGTGTTTTTAGTGTTTTTGTTTTTACATATAGCCAGCCTATAGTAACGTAATGAAAAAGTTGTTATTTCAAATATAAATGTTTCTGTATTCTAATGTTACCTAAGACCTTTATAAACCCAACCAAATGATTATTTTTTCCAATAGCATATATTTATTAGACTGTTAGAATGCTGACATCCAAAAGATGTGTCATTGGCATGAAGAGGGGCTGGCTGCTATTTTTACTCTTCGAGGCCCTGCTATTCTACTGTTCAATATGCATACGGTCATGTCATGGCTATTTTGAGTTTTTGTCTTTTATGATATTTATCTCAAAGTACTCCTATAGTGTAATACACATATTGAGGAAAAGTCAGGGACGGGTAGGTGAAAGGTTTTTATTGAAATTACTAAATTGAAAATGGTCAGATTGACCATCTTGGCGGTTTTAGTGTTAAAGGAATAATCCACTCAAACTATCTTTAGGTATTCTTTTCATTAGTCCACTGTTGATACAGTCCCAAAATGTTTTGCATGTCATCAGTCAAGTTTTCAAGATATAGGATTTTCATTTTCACTGTGTTTTTCATCATGATGATACATTTTGCTTTATCATGATACTGTGGCAAGTGAAACTTTGCTTCTTGAAAATCCTATATCTTGAAAACTTGACTGCTGACTTGCAAAACATTTTGGGATTGTATCAACAGTGGACTAATTAAAAAAATACCACTAGATAGTTTGAGTGGATTATTCCTTTAAACCTACCAATCACACTGTCCACTTGAAATGAATGTAGCCAACAGAGTCTAACACTAATCAGGCAATTGATTTTGATTGAACAATATTCATTATTCAACAGTTTATACTTTGTTAGTATTACTTTTTATATAACCATTCCGAATTAAGCATAAAGGCTAACTATGATGCTATAATTTCTACATGGCTTGACCTAGCATTTCGGAAATAGGTTTGAAATATAGCTCTCCCTTTGCTTTTTTCAACAAACATAATTGTTCATGGATAGCCTCCAATAATTCAAACAATGAAAATACCAAGACATGCCTAATTTCTTTACTTCCACCACCTATAAAAACAGAAATTCCCCTCATCTCAATGTTTTGAGATGCTAACATGAATTGACCAGGTAGATAACCTCTTGCAAAGAAGTCACACATTTATATCTTACAATTATTTGGCTACAAAGCACTCTAGATTGGGAGGAATAGGCTAAGTACTGTGACAACCAGACGGGGTCTCCCCTATTCACAGCAATCAGCGGTTATTGCATTTCCTCCCGCATGTTGTTGCTGTCTGTTATATTAATTCCCAACCTTTCGGACGCGCACCTGAGTGGCTGGAAGCGGCACTGGTCAGCCACTGAGTAGGGTAGCAGATTATCCATCCTGAAGGGCACAAACTGCAGTAGGTGGCCCCTTCCCTGAAATATATTTTCTTAGTAAACAAAACGTTAGAAACAGTTAGCCTACATGTTACACAGACCTTTTTTGGGCAGTTTTGGAAATGCTATATTGTAAAACTGAATAAACAGAAACTAACTGGAAGTTTGGAACAAGAACCCTTCGGCTCACTAAAGCTACATGCTCTGCCTCAGTTGAGCCCTGCTAGCTACCACTGACCCAGTCAACCCTGACTGAGACCACGCCCCAGTGCTCCACTCATTGTGCGTGGCAGGAAGTGTCCTGTACTGACACGTAGGGCTGACAGTCCAATCATTCCACCGTCCAAGGCCAAACTATTTCCCTGGCCTCATTTCTCACCACTCTCCCCTACTCCTAACCCATCTCGCCCTCTCTTCACCCTCCCTCACTCCTGTCCTGACAGTGGGGTCTTGGCTGGCATGGGCACAGAGATGTCACATGTATGTGTGAGATATAGCTAGCAGGCTGGCACAGAGATGGCCATAGTAAGAGATCAGATTGCGTGTGTGTGTAACTCCTCTAGCCTGTCCCATCATGTCACAGTGCTATGAAGTTGTATGTCACCAAATGAAGAGAGGAGGGACGAGAAAAGGGGAAACTTATCTGGACTGAAGCAGTGGGGGTTACTGACCTGCTACACTAGACCTGTAGCTTTTGCAGAGCGTGAGACGCTCCTCGATGCCCTAGTGTAGCTCCTATGTTGGGGTAGTAGCTGTATGTAGTGAGAGCACGTTAAGGGTTAGTGGGGTTCGGATAAAGTTTAGTTGGGTTAGTTAGGTTTAATTAGTGTTTAGTAGTGGGAGCGGATCAAAGGGCTCTGCTAGATTACAGCCCAGAGACCAGTCTGTCTCAGACCACTTACGTAAACAATGGATTAGAACTATAGAATAGGACCAAACCTTGAACATTCTTTGGTTTTAGGGAACAATAATAGTAGTCTACACTCACATTCAACACACACACACACACACACAAACAAACAAAGCTGATAAATCCAGAGAGAGCTGTGGTGTAAAGTAATCCACTTGATCCTGATTAAAGTGGAGTGGGTTTTAATCATCTCGGTGTGCACATATGTATATAATCAGATAATCTCATGCTCTCTCTCCCTCTCTCTCTCTCTCAGGTATGGTCTGAAGCCCAACGACCAGATCCTGGCAGAGGACAAGCACAAAGCATTGTGGGTACCTCCTACCACTTCCATTAATTCAAACAATCATTCAACATCATCCGAGGTTAATCTAGTCTCAGTAGCCTCACATTTGCCTTGTTTCTCTGTTGCATGAAGAAGTGTTTTTCCATTTTAGACTCCTGATTGACTGTTGGTGCGCTGTGTGGTCACTGTTCAGACACGCACGCACACATGCAGGGTCCGTAAATTCACACACTGAGCTGTTCTCTTTCCTGGAGTGGGCTGGACAGAACAGACACGTTCTAGAATTCACCAGGACGAGTCTAGCCAATGATGGGGCAGGAGGTTCAGAACTAGCCAATAGAAGAGCAAGAGGCCTAACCTCCCCCTCCCTCCGGGCCAAAGCAGTTAGAGAAAGAAAGTCTACATTTAATCACAGAGAGATAAGAAGACAGCAGAGTGGAAGGTTTTCCCAAGATTCAGTAGGATACAACCAAGGTTGTATTCAGATCAGTATATCATATGAATGTGGTACCCTAAAACATTGAGCACTTCTCAAGGCGTTGGGAGAATAATTTGGCATGCAGCTAGCTAGCTAAGCAAACAACGTGTCATTTAGCTTGCTTCATCAGATATTAGGCTTTTGGAAAGAGCTTGACATCGCCAAGTTCTCGTCCTGGCAAAGTTGTCAGTCGGACTACTGTCATCACCATTATAGATGGCAAGCAAATCAAACAATATTTGGATATAGCCATCTAGTTTATTTCCTGAAAGTTAGCTTGTTAACTATATTGACGTGATCTGTTATTAGCTAGCTAGCTAATTTGACGTGGTCCAAGTTGGTTAGAGAAAAAGTACATTTGTTCTACTTACCACTATGTTTAGCCAACTGTACAAAGTTTCTACGCTACCGTTAGCTTGCAAAGTAAACATTATCAGCTAACAGTACATCGGCAAATGCGCCCTTCTGCTGCTTGACAGGCAGAGCCCACAAAGGATGGAAAATTAACCTAAACCACTCATGCTTGTCAGGTATAGATCACTTTTATTTTTATATCACTGAAATATCAAATGAATGGTGGCTGATATCTTGAGGCTACCCTCACGTATCTGAAATTACATGATCAATTGATATGTACTGATCATGAAAGCATGCAGTTACTTGCTGTATAACTCTGATGATAGAGCTAAATGTGTGCAATTGTTACCGAGGTAAAGACAGATTCAGGTTGGATATTCAACGGATATTCGCCTGTAGTTTTCCTTACGTCCACCAACAGCAGTTAGGGACGTCAACATGGTGACAAATCAACATTTTCACATTTCAATAGCTGTTTAACGATTAAAACTTTCAAAACTGGTTCTAGCGAACCCGATGGCAGAGAGACATATTGCACAAACTTTTTTTTGTTGATTTACATCTCGCACTATTTTAAATTATTTGTTTTAATTTTTGAAATTCAATAGCGCCTTGGTCATGTGACCCACACACCAAAAACAAGGTTCATAATGGCCTACACATTGCACATCCTTTTGTATGTCCATTTGCATCTCATGAGATTTTACAATAATTTTTACAAGTTTCACATTTCAATAGCTCCTTAGTCATATGATCTACACCCCTCAAACTACTTTCAGAATATCCACTGAGTAGCCTTATACAGTGAGGGGAAAAAAGTATTTGATCCCCTGCTGATTTTGTACGTTTGCCCTCTGACAAAGAAATGATCAGTCTATAATTTTAATGGTAGGTTTATTTGAACAGTGAAAGACAGAATAACAACAAAATAATCCAGAAAAACGCATGTGAAAAATGTTATAAATTGATTTGCATTTTAATGAGGGAAATAAGTATTTGACCCCTCTGCAAAACATTACTTAGTACTTTGTGGCAAAACCCTTGTTGGCAATCACAGAGGTCAGACGTTTCTTGTAGTTGGCCACCAGGTTTGCACACATCTCAGGAGGGATTTTGTCCCACTCCTCTTTGCAGATCTTCTCCAAGTCATTAAGGTTTCGAGGCTGACGTTTGGCAACTCGAACCTTCAGCTCCCTCCACAGATTTTCTATGGGATTAAGGTCTGGAGACTGGCTAGGCCACTCCAGGACCTTAATGTGCTTCTTCTTGAGCCACTCCTTTGTTGCCTTGGCCATGTGTTTTGGGTCATTGTCATGCTGGAATACCCATCCACGATCCATTTTCAATGCACTGGCTGAGGGAAGAAGGTTCTCACCCAAGATTTGACGGTACATGGCCCCGTCCATCGTCCCTTTGATGCAGTGAAGTTGTCCTGTCCCCTTAGAAGAAAAACACCCCCAAAGCATAATGTTTCCACCTCCATGTTTGACGGTGGGGATGGTGTTCTTGGGGTCATAGGCATTATTCCTCCTCCTCCAAACACGGCGAGTTGAGTTGATGCCAAAGAGCTCAATTTTGGTCTCATCTGACCACAACACTTTCACCCAGTTCTCCTCTGAATCGTTCAGATGTTCATTGGCAAACTTCAGACGGGCCTGTATATGTGCTTTCTTGAGCAGGGGGACCTTGCGGGCGCTGCAGGATTTCAGTCCTTCACGGCGTAGTGTGTTACCAATTGTTTTCTTGGTGACTATGGTCCCAGCTGCCTTGTGATCATTGACAAGATCCTCCTGTGTAGTTCTGGGCTGATTCCTCACCGTTCTCATGATCATTGCAACTCCACGAGGTGAGATCTTGCATGGAGCCCCAGGCCGAGGGAGATTGACAGTTTTTTTCTGTTTCTTCCATTTGCGAATAATCGCACCAACTGTTGTCACCTTCTCACCAAGCTGCTTGGCGATGGTCTTGTAGCCCATTCCAGCCTTGTGTAGGTCTACAATCTTGTCCCTGACATCCCTGAAGAGCTCTTTGGTCTTGGCCGTGGTGGAGAGTTTGGAATCTGATTGATTGATTGCTTCTGTGGACAGGTGTCTTTTATACAGGTAACAAGATGAGATTAGGAGCACTCCCTTTAAGAGTGTGCTCCTAATCTCAGCTCGTTACCTGTATAAAAGACACCTGGGAGCCAGAAATCTTTCTGATTGAGAGGGGGTCAAATACTTATTTCCCTCATTAAAATGCAAATCAATTTATAACATTTTTTCCATGTGTTTTTCTGGATTTTTTTGTTATTCTTTCTCTCCCTGTTCAAATAAACCTACCATTAAAATTATAGACTGATAATTTCTTTGTCAGTCGGCAAACGTACAAAATCAGCAGGGGATCAAATACTTTTTTCCTTCACTATATGTAGCACAACCTTTTATTTGTCCATTTTCCTTTCAGGTGATTTTACATGAATTTGTCTATGTTTTTCATTGTTTCCAATTTCAATAGCTCCTTGGTCATGTGATCTACAACCCTGAAACTACTTTCAGAACATCCACTCACTAGCCTTATATATTGCACAACCTTTTGTTTGTCCATTTTCCTCTCAGGTGATGTTACATGAATTTGTCTATGTTTTTCATTGTTTCGAATTTCAATTGCTCTCTGGTCATGTGACCTACAACCCTCAAACTGCTGTCAGAATATCCACTGACAAGCCTTATATATTGCACACCCTTCGTCCATTTTCATCTCAGGTGGTGTGCAATATATAAGGCTTGTCAGTGGATATTCTGACAGCAGTTTGAGGGTTGTGGGTCACATGACCAGAGAGCTATTGAAATTAGAAAGTTAAAAAGATTCATGTAAAAATGTGTGAGATGAAAATGGACAAACTAAAGGGTGTGCAATGTGTAGGCCCAATGAGTGTACATGCTGAACCTTGTTTGAGGTCAGTAGGTCACATGACCAAGGAGCTATTGAAATTCGAATGTAAAAAAAGTTTGTACTTTGTTTACGCTCCCTAACTAATTCAACTAGGAATATGGAATGTTGCTCACATTTCCACATGTTTATTAGCTTTGGAAAGCAAAGTAATGTCCATAACATGAAAATAAGACCTGTGCAATGTTGTGCGCAATTATTCCAACATCATGACACTTATTTGGAGTCTGTGGCTCAAGTGGTATGAAAGCTATTGAGGTTTGAATGCGCGAATATCCAACCTGAAACTGTCTTTACCTCAGTGCAATTGTTTTGCATGGAATAATTGGAAAATTGTAGTTCTGACTATGCTCTTCAAGAGGTGATGATATTCCAACTAAATACTTAACATTTATTTAACAATCCCTTGAAAACGACACGCAGTTGTCAATAGTTTTAGCGTAGCTGGGGTTCTCCTTGCCCAACAGCAGGCAAATTGAACACTGCACCTTATTGTGAAATGTTATTGATAACGACCTATTAACTAAGTGTCTCAGAGAAGGAATGCTGATTTTGCCAATTCAATCACAATTAATATGATTACATGGACACGGGGAACCTGATCCTAGATCAACATTCTTAGGGGACTTTCACGTCGAATTGGTTTGTAGCGTTTTTTTTACAACTGTAGTGCGTTTCCCCTCTAGTTCGGTTTGGTTGGACTGGTGTGAACACTATCGCACTCGGGAGCGCACTAAACAACGCACCGTGATTCGCTGCAGGTGAGAACGCAGTCAGGTCCAAACACAGGAAAAGAACCAGAGTTGCGCAGTATGATTGGTTGCAAAATGCATGCAGCATCATAACTTGACATCTCTGAAACATTGTGAGTAGCAGCGCATTTATGAGTGTATCCGATTAGGGGAGACAGGGGCTATAATGGGGATATAGGTTACTGAATAGCCTATTCACATTGCAGTTGGAGTGGTTATTGCTCAGTTTCCTCCCGCATGTTTTTGGAAGACCAAAGCGAAAGTATTATGAAGATTGGAACACACAAGTGATGCTTCATGATGCTCATAGATGGATTTAACGTGAGCATTTATGTCCAATAAACAAATGACTTGCATGGACACGTGGTTTTTGTTTAGGAATTTTAGTTTGTTTGACATTTGGCAATATGAAACCAACCGGACCAAAAATCAATAAATAGAGCTATAGCTCAAAACTATGTGGGAAAAGCCCTTACTCTGAGACTTGATTCATACTGCCCCAGAAAATATGTACATAGTTATTATATCTGGAGCATGTCCAGACTGAAGGAGCAGAGAGAGGTGTGTAAAAGGCAACAGTCTCTGTTTGTTGTAGCCTTGGGAGTTTCCCTCCGCTCTAATCCAGGCGTTCCCATTGGTCGAGGAGAAACGTCTCACTGCAGGAGGCGTATTGAGACTAAGAAGTGTAACATTCAGGACGTTACAGATATAAATTAGTTGATTTATTCTACTTGTCAGACAATCATATCTGCTCTACACAACTCATTTCTATCTGAACGTTCTGTAACTTTGTGTCATACTGAACGGACCCCATGTGTAGGTGTTTGAGCTGTGTCCTAGGTGTGCTGTCCCCCTTCCCCCCAGCCCATTCCTGTCCAGATGTTTGAGTTGTGACCAATACTGACCTCAGCTGTTCTGTTAGCCAACAACCACCCTGCTCTAGTTGAGTCAGCAGACAGACTGGGCAGTAAACAAACCACTAAGGTTGGGAAATAGCTGTGCTGGAGGGCGAAGGCCTCTGATTCACTCCTCTGCGTCTCTCTAAGCCAATGGCGCAAACAGTCTCGCAAAATCTCAGCCTCACCTCCTTGGCACTGTGATCTGCTGGGCCAGCCCTATTTTAGTCTGTTTAACATGCATTCCCCCCTTACATACATACACACGCGGACCAGCACATGCACGCACGCAAACACCTCCCTCTCTCCCCCATCCGTCTCTCTCCCCCTCTACCATCCCCTTTCCATCTCTCACTCTCTCTCTCACTCCATCTGTCGGTCTGTGTGTGTTATCAGTAGGTGATAAGGCTGCTAAGTATAGAGAACAGAACATGTAACTTGGGCCATAACGGTCTTTAGCTCTGTCTCAGAGGAAAATATAATGTTTCTCAAACCATATGTACTGAATCGTAGTAAAGCTTGAAACCATATAACAAACTTTTCCCTGTTGTCTTAAACATTGTACGTGCATGTGTGTTGTAGGTTTGAAGAGATTGTCAAAAAGTTTAAAGTAGAGTACCATGCCGGAGGAGCTACACAGAACTCTATAAAAATCGCCCAGGTATGACACACACACACACATTTAGTCATTACACTATCCCACAGTACCTTCTCCGAAATGTATGTTTCATTCACACACACTGACACACACCACACACTCTAAACTACTCTAACACACACCCACTCCTCTCCAGTGGATGATCCAGGATCCCCACAAAGTGTGTACGTTCTTCGGCTGTATCGGGGAGGATAAGTTTGGGGAGATTCTGAAACAGAAGTCAGAGGAGGCCCACGTGGACGCCCACTACTATGAGCAGACAGAGAAGCCTACAGGGACCTGTGCCGCATGCATCACCGGGGACAACAGGTAAACACGACATTCTCTCGCTCTCATAATACACACATACACACACTTTCTCACTCATAATATACACACACACTCCAAGGACAACAGGTCAAGATTCCACTCCATCGAACGCCAAAGTGTCCCTCTCATCAACTGCAATCTTTCTTTTGTTCCCTGTCTCAGGTCTCTGGTAGCTAACCTAGCGGCAGCTAACTGTTATAAGAAGGACAAACATCTGGACTTGAAGGAGAACTGGAAACTGGTGGAGAAAGCCAAAGTCTACTATATTGCTGTGAGTAACAAAGACCACATACACTACCAGTCAAAAGTTTGGACACACCTACTCATTCAAGGGTTTTTCTTTATTTTTACTATTTTCTACATTGTAGAATAATAGTGAAGACATCAAAACTATGAATTAACCCATATGGAATCATGTAGTAACCAAACAATAGCCATCCTTTGCCTTGATGACAGCTTTGCACACTCTTGGCATTCTCTCAACCAGCTTCACCTGGAATGCTTTTCCAACAGTCTTGAAGGAGTTCCCACATATGCTGAGCACTTGTTGGCTGCTTTTCCTTCACTCTGCCGTCCAACTCATCCCAAACCATCTCAATTGGTTTGAGGTCGGGGGATTGTGGAGGCCAGGTCATCTGATGCAGCACTCCATCACTCTCCTTCTTCTAAAATAGCCCTTACACAGCCTGGAGGTGTGTTGGGTCATTGTCCTGTTGAAAAACAAATGATAGTCCCACTAAGCCCAAACCAGATGGGATGGCGTATTGCTGCAGAATGCTGTGGTAGCCATGCTGGTTAAGTGTGCCTTGAATTCTAAATAAATCACAGAATGTGTCACCAGCAAAGCACCCCCACACCATAAACCTCCCCCTCCATGCTTTACGGTGGGAACTAAACATGCAGAGATCATCCGTTCACCCACACCGCGTCTCACAAAGACACGGCGGTTTGAACCAAACATTTCAAATTTAGACTCCAGACCAAAGGACACATTTCCACCGGTCTAATGGCCGGTTCACACAGTCCCCTCTGAACAGTTGATGTTGAGATGTGTCTGTGACTTGAACTCTGTGAAGCATTTATTTGGGCTGCAATTTCTGAGGCTGGTAACTCTAATAAACTTATGCTCTGCAGCAGAGGTAACTGTGGGTCTTCCATTCCTGTGGCGGTCCTCATGAGAGCCAGTTTCATCATAGCGCTTGATGGTTTTTGCGACTGCACTTGAAGAAACTTTAAAAGTTCTTGACATTTTCCGTATTGACAGACCTTCATGTCTTAAAGTAATGATGGACTGTCATTTCTCGTTGCTTATTTGAGCTGTTATTGCCATGATTGTGTTATTTCATAGTTTTGATGTCTTCACTATTATTCTACAATGTAAAAAATAAAAATAAAGAAAAACCCTCGAATGAGTAGGTGTGTTCAAACTTTTGACTGGTAGTGTACATATACACTGAGTAGCAAATATACACTGAGTAGCATTGATTATAACAGGCTTACTAGCATTGATTATAACATACTGTGTAGCATTGATTATAACAGGCTGTGAATAATTTATTATAACATGCTTAGTAGCATGGATTATAACAGGTTTAGTAGCATGGATAATAGCAGGTTTAGTAGCATGGATTATAACAGGTTTAGTAGCATGGATTATAGCAGGTTTAGTAGCATGGATTATAGCAGGTTTAGTTGCATGGATTATAACAGGTTTCGTAGCATGGATTATAACATACTGTGTAGCATTGATTATAACAGGCTGTGCAGCATTGATTGTAACAGGCTGTGAATAATTTATTATAACATGCTTAGTAGCATGGATTATAACAGGTTTAGTAGCATGGATTATAGCTGGTTTAGTAGCATGGATTATAACAGGTTTAGTAGCATGGATTATAACAGGTTTAGTAGCATGGATTATAACAGGTTTATTAGCATGGATTATAACAGGTTTAGTAGCATGGATTATAGCAGGTTTAGTAGCATGGATTATAACAGGTTTATTAGCATGGATTATAACAGGTTTAGTAGCATGGATTACAGCAGGTTTATTAGCATGGATTATAACAGGTTTATTAGCATGGATTATAACAGGTTTATTAGCATGGATTATAACAGGTTTAGTAGCATGGATTATAGCAGGTTTATTAGCATGGATTATAACAGGTTTAGTAGCATGGATTACAGCAGGTTTATTAGCATGGATTATAACAGGTATAGTAGCATGGATTATAACATGTTTAGTTGCATGGATTATAACAGGTTTAGTAGCATGGATTATAACAGGTTTAGTAGCATGGATTATAACAGGTTTATTAGCATGGATTATAACAGGTTTATTAGCATGGATTATAACAGGTTTAGTAGCATGGATTATAGCAGGTTTATTAGCATGGATTATAACAGGTTTAGTTGCATGGATTATAACAGGTTTATTAGCATGGATTATAACAGGTATAGTAGCATGGATTATAACATGTTTAGTTGCATGGATTATAACAGGTTTAGTAGCATGGATTATAACAGGTTTAGTAGCATGGATTATAACAGGTTTAGTAGCATGGATTATAACAGGTTTAGTAGCATGGATTATAACAGGTTTATTAGCATGGATTATAACAGGTTTAGTAGCATGGATTATAGCAAATTTAGTAGCATGGATTATAACAGGTTTAGTAGCATGGATTATAACAGGTTTATTAGCATGGATTATAACAGGTTTATTAGCATGGATTACAGCAGGTTTATTAGCATGGATTATAACAGGTTTATTAGCATGGATTATAACAGGTTTATTAGCATGGATTATAACAGGTTTAGTAGCATGGATTATAGCAGGTTTATTAGCATGGATTATAACAGGTTTAGTAGCATGGATTACAGCAGGTTTATTAGCATGGATTATAACAGGTTTAGTAGCATGGATTATAACAGGTTTAGTTGCATGGATTATAACAGGTTTAGTTGCATGGATTATAACAGGTTTAGTTGCATGGATTATAACAGGCTTAGTTGCATGGATTATAACAGGTTTATTAGCATGGATTTAACAGGTTTAGTAGCATGGATTATAACAGGTTTAGTTGCATGGATTATAACAGGTTTATTAGCATGGATTATAACGGGTTTATATAGCATGGATTATAACAGGTTTAGTAGCATGGATTATAACAGGTTTAGTAGCATGGATTATAACAGGTTTATAGCATGGATTATAACAGGTTAGTTGCATGGATTATAACAGGTTTATTAGCATGGATTATAACAGGTTTAGTAGCATGGATTATAACAGGTTTAGTAGCATGGATTATAACAGGTTTAGTTGCATGGATTATAACAGGTTTATTAGCATGGATTATAACAGGTTTAGTAGCATGGATTATAACAGGTTTAGTAGCATGGATTATAACAGGTTTAGTTGCATGGATTATAACAGGTTTAGTAGCATGGATTATAACAGGTTTAGTTGCATGGATTATAACAGGTTTAGTTGCATGGATTATAACAGGTTCAGTAGCATGGATTATAACAGGTTTAGTAGCATGGATTATAACAGGTTTAGTAGCATGGATTATAACAGGTTTAGTAGCATGGATTATAACAGGTTTATTAGCATGGATTATAACAGGTTTAGTAGCATGGATTATAACAGGTTTAGTAGCATGGATTATAACAGGTTTAGTAGCATGGATTATAACAGGTTTAGTAGCATGGATTATAACAGGTTTATTAGCATGGATTATAACAGGTTTAGTAGCATGGATTATAACAGGTTTATTAGCATGGATTATAACAGGTTTAGTAGCATGGATTATAACAGGTTTAGTTGCATGGATTATAACAGGTTTAGTAGCATGGATTATAACAGGTTTAGTAGCATGGATTATAACAGGTTTATTAGCATGGATTATAACAGGTTTAGTTGCATGGATTATAACAGGTTCAGTAGCATGGATTATAACAGGTTTAGTAGCATGGATTATAACAGGTTTAGTAGCATGGATTATAACAGGTTTATTAGCATGGATTATAACAGGTTTAGTAGCATGGATTATAACAGGTTTAGTAGCATGGATTATAACAGGTTTAGTTGCATGGATTATAACAGGTTTAGTAGCATGGATTATAACAGGCTTAGTTGTATGGATTATAACATACTGTGAAGCATTGATTATAACATGCTCTGTAACATTATTACATGCGGTGTAGCATTGATTATAACAGGCTGTGTAGAATTGATTATAACAGGTTTAGTAACATTGATTACAACAGGCTGTGTAGCAGTGATAACAGGCTTTATTATCTTCTCTGTAGGGTTTCTTCCTGACAGTGTCTCTGGAGTCCATACTGAAAGTGGCCAAACACGCGTCTGAGAATAACAAGCTGTTCACTCTGAACCTCTCCGCTCCCTTCATCTCCCAGTTCTTCAAAGACGGCCTCATGGAGGTCATGCCCTACGTGGACGTGCTGTTCGGCAACGAGACGGTACACACACACACACCCTCATTCACTAATTTATCCGGTATCTAGGTCCTTCTAGAGAGAGAGACAGACAAACAGATGGGTAAAGTGAGAGTGTGACAGGGAGAGAGTGACGGAAAGAAAGGGAGCAATGGGCAAATAGGCAGAGAAAGGGTGACAGACACAGGCAGACAGATAGGGAGCGAGAGGACGATGGAGAGAGACCGACAGGCAAACGAGGTAGAACGTTATGGCGAAATACACTGAATGCACAAAACATTAGGAACACCTTCCTTTTGCCCTCAGAACAGCCTCAATTCGTCAGGGCATGGACTCTACAAAGTGTCGAAAGCGTTCTACAGGGATGCTGGCCCATGTTGACTCCAATGCGTCCCACAGTTGTGTCAAGTTGGCTGGATGTCCTTTGGGTGGTGGACCATTCTTGATACACACAGGAAACTGTTGAGCCTGAAAAACCCAGTAGCGTTGCAGTTCTTGACACACTCAAACCGGTGCGCCCGGCACCTACTACCATACTGATATAGAAATTAAAATTTATACAGGTTAAAAGTAATGACAAAATGTTCCACCCTTAAATATAGTTGTGAAATGTTCTTGTTTTAAGTATGATTAGTACTTTCTTAGTAGTGACTAATTATTATACTCCGAAACTGTGTGAGATGTGTTAGAATCTACTACTTGGTAATGTGTGAGTGTAGGACCAGTAAAGATTATGACATTGTGTTACTATTTAGCAATGTGAGTAGGCGTTAGACCGGACGGCGAAGAAGAAGAACTGTTAAACATGGTGCAGAATATTGTGAGAACGGTGATAACTGAGGAATATAGGGAGGAGAGAAACTGTTAGGCTTGGAAGAGTGTGTGTGTGTGTGTGTGTGTGTGTGTGTGTGTGTGTGTGTGACCTGATGGTCAGGAGAGCAGTTTTCCAGTGGAAAACTACAGCCCGCCTAAAGAGGGGTGGGATTTTTCCTCTGACGTGTGCATATAAAAATATTGTACGACCATTTTGTTTTAGAACGTTCTCATTAATAAAGCCTGATGATTGTATGCTGGGCTGCTTGATCTGATTATTAGAGATTTACAACCTCTGGGATACAGACTGAGTAATAAGTTCATTTTTGAAACATTGGGATATAAATTCTCGTAACACATACCCCTTTCAAAGGCACTTAAATATTTTGTCTTGCCCCTTCACCCTCTGAATGGCACACATAAACAAACCATGTCTCAAGGGTTAAAATTCCTTCTTTAACCTGTCTCCTCCCCTTCACCTACACTGATATGAAGTGGCATTTAACAGGGGACATCAATAAGGGATCATAGACTGACCAGGTGAAAGTTATGTCATGAAAAGAGCAGGTGTTCCTAATGTTTTGTACACTCCGTGTATACGGAGACTAATGGGACATTTCTGTTTTTCAGGAGGCGGCTACGTTTTCAAAAGAGCAAGGCTTTCAGGTGAGTGGACTGCGATTTCAAACACAAACACTCTTGTATATTAGAATAGCTTGTTTGTGACTACGATGTGTGTTTGTAGACTGAGGACATCGAGGAGATTGCTAAGAAGGCCCAGGCTCTTCCCAAAGTCAACAAGAAGAGACCGAGAATTGTTGTCTTAACTCAGGGGAAGGACGGAACCATCATGACCAATGGTAACTACACATATACACACACGTTGACAGGCACACACGCTGACACTCGCACACTGATATGAGTGCAGAAACTAGCCTGACTTCAGCAACTCGTGGGAATTGGCCTATATGTATAAGGCTACATTTAAATGTTTCTTACACAATAAATATGAAAAGCATATGCATAACCATGGTTGCAATTGAACGGGAACATTTTGGAGATAATGGGGAAATTATTAGACCAAAGGTGAGTACACAACAGTTCACAAGACTGAATCCAAACATTACACTTTTGATTTTATGTGCATTTTACATTTACTGTACTTTTCGCCACATTTGTTGATAATGAATTCTGAAAATACTGATTCAGTAACATAAAACTATTCCTGGAAAATGTGGGGTAGGTGCAACATAAGACAAAACAATTACAAGGGTTTGAGTGAGAGGACAAACTGGTGTCTCACATCTCCAAAGTGTGTGCAGTTCCTAAGCAAATTCAATGCACTTTTAATAAAATAAAATAAAATAAAAATGTATTTGTCACATGCGCCGAATACAACAGGTGTAGACCTTACAGTGAAATGCTTACTTACAAGCCCTTAACCAACAATGCAGTTTTAAGAAAGAATACAAAATATATATATATATTTACATTTTACATTTTTAGTCATTTAGCAGACGCTCTTATCCAGAGCGACTTACATGAGCAATTAGGGTTAAGTGCCTTGCTCAAGGGCACATCGACAGATTTTTCACCTAGTATATATATATATACAGTGGGGAGAACAAGTATTTGATACACTGCCGATTTTGCAGGTATTTTGCAAAAATCCAGAAAATCACATTGTATGATTTTTAAGTAATTCATTTTCATTAAACCTCTTGGACCTAGACTTGGCGCTACGGTACCGCTTGCCGTGCGGTAGCGGAGAGAACAGTCTATGACTAGGGTGACTGGAGTCTTTGACCATTTGTAGGGCCTTCCTCTGACACCGTCTGGTATAGAGGTCCTGGATGGCAGGAAGCTTGGCCCCAGTGATGTACTGGGCCGTACGCACTACCCTCTGTAGTGCCTTGCGGTCGGAGGCCGAGCAGTTGCCATTACCAGGCAATGATGCAACCAGTCAGGATGTTCTCGATGGTGCAGCTGTAGAACCTTTTGAGGATCTGAGGACCCATGCCAAATCTTTTCAGTCTCCTGAGGGGGAATAGGCTTTGTCGTGCCCTCTTCACGACTGTCTTGGTGTGCTTGGACCATGGTAGTTTGTTTGATGTGGACACCAAGGAACTTCAAGCTCTCAACCTGCTCCACTACAGCCCCGTCGATGAGAATCGGTGGCGTGCTCGGTCCTCTTCTTTTTCCTGTAGTCCACAATCATCTCCTTTGTCTTGATCACGTTGAGGGAGAGGTTGTTGTCCTGGCACCAAACGGCCAGGTCTCTGACCTCCTCCCTATAGGCTGTCTCATCGTTGTCGGTGATCAGGCCTACCACTGTTGTGTCATCGGCAAACTTAATGATGGTGTTGGAGTCGTGCCTGGAGTGAACAAGGAGTACAGGAGAGGACTGAGCACGCACCCCTGAGGGGCCCCTGTGTTGAGGATCAGCATGGCGGATGTGTTGTTACCTACCCTTACCACCTGGGGGGCGGCCCGTCAGGAAGTCCAGGATCCAGTTGCAGAGGGAGGTGTTTAGTCCCAGGGTCCTTAGCTTAGTAATGAGCTTTGAGGGCACTATGGTGTTGAACGCTGAGCTGTAGTCAATGAATAGTATTCTCACATAGGTGTTCATTTTGTCCAGGTATGAAAGGGCAGTGTGGAGCGCAATAGAGATTGCATCATCTGTGGATCTGTTGGGGCGATATGCAAATTGGATGGGTCTAGGGTTTCTGGGATAATGGTGTTGATGTGAGCCATGACAAGCCTTTCAAAGCACTTCATGGCTACAGACGTGAGTGCTACGGGTCGGTAGTCATTTAGGCAGATTACCTTAGTGTTCTTAGGCATAGGGACTATGGTGGTCTGCTTGAAACATGTTGGTATTACAGACTCAGACAGGGAAAGGTTGAAAATGTCAGTGCATGCTTGGAGTACACGTCCTGGTAATCCGTCTGGCCCTGCGGCCTTGTGAATATTGAGCTGTTTAAAGGTCTTACTCACATCGGCTGCGGAGAGTGTGATCACACAGTAATCCGGAACAGCTGATGCTCTCATGCATGTTTCAGTGTTACTTGCCTCGAAGCGAGCATAGAAGTAGTTTAGCTCGTCTGGTAGGCTCGTGTCACTGGGCAGCTCGTGGCTGTGCTTCCCTTTGTAGTCTATAATAGTTTGCAAGCCCTGCCACATCTGACGAGCGTCGGAGCCGGTGTAGAAGAGTCTTCAACTATAAGGTACTTTTTTGAGCTCTCCTACCTGTGCCGTTGAGGAACTAGAGCAAACACACTTAAGTAGTTGTTTTGTTTGGAACACAGCCCTGCAACCCAGCCATTAAACAATAACTGTTGTTGTTTACGCAATCCCAAAACGGTCGATTATAAATCACAATCTGGGTCAGGTGGGTATGATTTGAAAGCTTGTTCTATTGCCAACATTACTAGCTAAGTTATAAAATATGATCTTACAGTGTTAGGCTTTCACAAGGCAATTCAGAGAAACAGATTGTAATTGGTGCTCATAGAAAGGATTCATGAGTGCATTGAGGTGCGTGTGCCGCAGTGAATTTTCTTCACAATAAACAAACATGGGCTCATTCTGTTCAGAACAACCCAGAGTATGATGCCATATCATCATGTAACGGTACATCAAACATTGATCATAAACATTGACACTGTATATGACATGAGTTTTGGAGTCACAGGTGTTTGGCTTGCTTGTATGACATCAAAGCAGTATTTATTGTAATCCTGTTATTCTCAACGTCTCATCTTTCAAAATACATTGAGTCATCGCAATTTACAGCATTTCCCTCGCTGACAACAAAAGAAATTGCGCGCAATGCTTAAGTTCAGAACGGCCGTCAGTCAAAACCCATACAGATGTAGGATCTTAATTTGATCACTCTTTTGTTGCTGCGAATTTTCCTGCACTGCAGGAAATGCATACTTGTAGTGTATTAGAGGTTTAAAACGTATTTTGAAGTTTATTTCCACTTTAAAATGTTAGACGTGATTCGCCCAAACAGAAAATGTATTAACCCCATACAAAAAATATCCATTAATTATAATACTCATAATAATTCACATTTCCTATTGCTGCGGGAATATTTTCCTGTTGCAGCAAATGGCTCAAATTAAGATCCTATATCTGTACAGCGCTGTGAAGCGCAGAGCCAGAGTTCTGACGTCATGTATAGCATGTTACTCTACAGCCACTACATTCCAATTTAGGCGCTTATTAGTGCCCAAATCTGCTATTTTCAAGCCGTATACGGGTATGAGTGTAAAGGGTGTGTGTGTGTGTGTGTGTGTGTGAAGGAGGTGACAAGGTGGAGACGTTCCCAGTGCTGAAGATTGATCAGAAGGACATTGTGGACACAAATGGAGCCGGAGATGCCTTTGTAGGAGGTACATGTCCCTGAGTGTCTTTATCTATGTGCATGAACGTTTCTGTAGGGATATCTGTCTGGTCCTTGAGAAAGTTGAATCAGTGTGTGTGTGTGTGTCATGCAGGATTCCTGTCAGAGTTGGTCCAGGACAAGGAGTTGGAACAGTGTGTGAAAGCAGGACACTACGCTGCCAACACCATCATCAGACGAGCAGGATGCACCTTCCCCGAAAAACCAGACTTCCACTGATTACCTCTAACCTTAATTGCTGACCTCTTACCCCTAACCCATCCACCCTTACCTCTGACCCTTACCTTCCAACTTAACGAAACCAGGTCTCCCGTCCTTTTTTTTTTTTTTCCAACCATCCATCCATGCTTTAATTCGATCCATCCATATATCTATCATTGCTTTCATCCCTCCTTCACTTGTCTTTCTGCAACCAGACTTCTGTGCCTGTTCTTCTTGTCCTCCGCTAGGGGATGCTCTCAGGCCACACTGCCCGATACAGCAGTATCTGTTTATACTGATCTTCAACTGCCCTCCCTAATGACTCTGCTGAAGTCTACTGCCCTCAGTACACTCAGTTAGACTGATGGTACTCACTTAATACTGCCCGATTCACAGTTAACTATCAGCCTCTCAGTAAACTGTCATGTTTACACACACAGCAGGTTGCTGCTGGAAACCAACTGCTGTCCAGTCTTCTCCTTGGAGACCGAGCTAAAGCCAAGTTAGTGGGTCAGGGTTAGGTAACCGGTTAGGGGCATGGTTAATGGGTTAGTTACGGATGGGTGGAATACTGTAATTTGATGGAGGATGTTTCTTTTGAGAAGGTTGAAGATAATCTCTAGGAAAGCAGCTCTATCAGAGATATTAAGAAGACTACACTTAGAAATGAGATAGGCAGTGTCATTGTGATTGATGTTTGATTGTGACTGGAGGCTTATTGAAGCGGAGAAGTGTTGTTGCAGGCCAGTGTTGCTGTAAAGCCAAACGGATTCCTTAACCTTAAAGCGCACAGTAAACGTGTAAAGTTCTCTGTACACTTTGTAAACGTGTCAAAGCCTCTTGAGTCTGAAGTGATTTTTATGGCTGTTTTACAAAATATTCCTATTTAAATAATTGTAATTTTAACATGATGCAGGTGTAGCCTGTGATATTGGCTAATAAACACATTTCAGTTGGTCTAAAACACAATGTTATAACAGGCTGTTTATAATTGTCTCATAACACTCTAGAAACCTTTGTGCAAATGTTTAGTTTGTAAAAGGGGAACCTTTGTAAATGGGGAACTTGGTCTGCAGGGGGTGTGAGGCTTAGGGCAGAAGTAAGCACCTCTCCTCTCATGTGTATGGTTGTTGAAATCATTGATTTGAACCTCCTGGAGTCTGTGTGTGTCATTTGTGTGGTATGGTGACTTGCTGCTTCTACTTGCATCAGTGTTTTCACAGAATACTTCACTCACTGTCCAGTGACACTGGCTAGTGTTAATTCTTTCATAAAATTACTGTTATGATTCAGGAAAGGATCCTACGGATCCTCGATATGAGCTGCTAACCCAAATGCTGACCTCAAAATACAAAGGATATTTAATTAACAAATGTATTTTTGTCTTAATTTCACCAGGTAAATTGAGAACACATTGTTATTGATGGGAGCCATCACCATATTGCTTTCACCAGTCAGTCTATTAACATCAAGACAATATGGTTGATTTGTAATAGTGTATTTACTGTGTAATAACTTAACATTATGGCAATACACACATTTAAAAAAAGAATGGGGTTGAAAATACAACCAGTGAGCATTCAGACAGAGTATATACTGTATTATAGTTTCTACTTCCATTCATGTTGTTATAGTCCCATCTCCTGTTTGCTTCTCTACTGATGGATGGATGGATGTGTGTGTGTCAGTATCTTAGTATGTCCTCCTGTAGTTTTATATCCAGGTCTCTCAGTTGTTTCAGGAAGCCTCGATTGGGCAGAACGTAATGTTGCTGTCATACATGCTCAATAGCGTCGACCAGTGCCCTCACTCGATCATCATGTATCCCAGGACCAGCGTCACTGACCCATCACACAGTGCACCAAGAACTTGTCTGATACACACACAGAATCGATATGCACTCACAGGGGCACGCACCCTCAGTGAGTCAGAACTTTTTGGTCACTGTACCGCTTCCCCTTAAAACAACCACCTCTCTTGGTTACAGCGCCTACTGATTCCATCTCTCTCTACTCCCCAACTGGTGATTTTATTTGGCCCCCCAAGTTTTCTGGACATAAAAGTCTGTAAAAACACCAGCCAATCAGCTCCAAGTCATTTTAATTTCAGAAATCTGTTCCAAAGTATTGGGACAAATTCACTTACGTGTATTAGTAGTAAAAAGGTAAGTATTTGTGAATAAGAATCAAATGTTTCTAAACACTTCTACATGAATGTGGATGCTACTATGTTTATAGATCATCCTGAATGAATTGTGAATAATGATGACTGACAAAGTTACATTCGCACAAATGCTAACATCCCCTGTTATTGTAATGGTGAGAGGTTAGCATGTCTTGGGGGTATGATATTTGTGCACTTGTAACTTTCTCACTCATTATCCACGATTCATTCTGGATTATCCATAATCATGGTTACATCCACATTAATGTAGAATTGTTTAGAAACATATATTCTTATTTACAATGAAAGTGACTCCAAAATGACAATACATTATTTACCATTTCTATTGGGCACAAAATAATCTGAAACACAAACAAAACAAACGGCAAATGCATTCAACAAATGTGTAAAGTCACAAGGTTGATGTAGTCATTGCGTGCTATGAATATGGGACCAAATAATTAACTTTTTACTACTTTAATACACAGAAGTGAATTTATCCCAATACTTTTGGTCCCTAAAATGGGTGGTCTATGTACAGAAAGTGCTGTAATTTCAGAACGGTGCAACCTATTCGCATCATCGGGGACTAGCATTCCTAGGCATTGGCCACTTTTTTAGCATGGTGGTGGGAAATGGTGTTTCATAAAGAAAGTACAAATCTTCCCCGTTATTTTTCCCGCTTTTCGCCATTAAATCCAGTTAAGGAGGAAATCGACGCCTTTGCAGCCTGAAGGGAGAAGGTTTTCGATACAAACCATTCCACGGGGGATTCTAGTGTATTGCCAGCTGCATCCAATGCGTTTGGACGGAAACGACTCAATATCGCCATCTGCCGGCCTTTGGGCTATGGGACAGAGTGCTTTGCCCTGCAAACAAATCACATATTGAATGAAATTATTTTCAACATTTCTCATTAGCTGGCTATACAGATCGCCATTTCAGGATATTTAAACTGAGCGGTTCTTCATAATTGACCCATTCCTGAATTAACAAGTTAGTTTAACTTTGATTGTTCGTCTAAACTGACGAGATCGCCTGCTAGCTATATCGGTAGTGTCCAACGTTAGCTAGCTTGGCTAGTGGGTTGATGTCAAAAGCACACACTCGGCGTTGCATGCCCCAATGATCAAATTTGACATGTATATGAAAGTCATTTGTTGAACATTTTAACATAATTTGTTAAATAAACGTTATACTCACATTGCTAGAAAGTGTTCTACCAGGAAATGGCGAAATGAGAATGCCATGATGTCACGTGACAGGTTATACCGTTGAATGGAAATAGCTGACTCATCTGAAGCCACGTTTGTGGATTGTACAATCGACAGGCGGAAAAATTCTAAACACAGAATAGATCCACAAGCACTTTTTGAATGCGCATTCCACAGTTGTAAATGTTAGGGATTTCTGAACATTTGTTCAAATTGTAGTTTTATTTGTGAGCAGTTTAATATATTTTCAGATCATGGTTTGTGATTTCTGATCAGATTTATGGTGAATATTTGTGAAATATTTTTAACATATTCACGGATTATGGTTTAATTTGCGAAATATTTTTTGTGGTTTTATTTACAAAATATTTTAATATAGTCAGATAGTTTTACTTGTGAGTTATGTTGAATATACGCACGGATAGTGGTAGACACATTTAAAGAATAATAGTAGCCGGCTGCGACCCGGAGACCCATGGGGCCGCGCACAATTGTCCCAGCGTCGTCCAGGGTAGGGGAGGGAATGGCCGGCAGGGATGTAGCTCAGTTGGTAGAGCATGGCGTTTGCAACGCCAGGGTTGTGGGTTCGATACCCACGGGGGGCCAGTATGAAAAAAATAATGTATGCACACACTAACTGTAAGTCGCTCTGAAAAAGAGCGTCTGCTAAATGACTAAAAATGTAAATAAAGAAACAAATCTCACTTCATATGCGGCTCCCCTTGCAGATCTCGAACCCAGGTCTCAGCTCGTAGACAAACTCCAGTAGGGTTCAATCATAACGAGCCTACCTAGGCAAGGGTGGATACACTAGAACAAAAATAGGCTATGTTTTACACGTCCTGACTACTATTACTATTATTTCAGATGCTGACTACTAGAGACATGAACATAGTGTACTATAGAAGCTGACGATATTCCCACTTTCAACCTCTCTCCCTACTTCTACCCTGCTGCTCACTTCATCCACCAAGCACTCAGTGACACACACAGTACGTACAGTGCCTTCAGAAAATATTCACACACCTTGAATTTTTCCACATTTTGTTGTTTTACAGCCTGAATTAAAAATGGATTAAATTGAGATTGTGTCACTGGCCTACACACAATACCTCATAATGTCAAGGTGGAATTATGTTTACAAACTAATAAAAAATGAAAAGCTGAAATGTCTTGAGTCAATAAGTATTCAACCCCTTTGTTAGGCCAAGCCTAAATAAGTTCAGGAGTAAAAATGTGCTTAAGTCACATAAATTGCATGGAATCACTCAGTGTGCAATAATAGTGTTTAACAAGATTTTTTAATGACTACCTCATCTCTGTAAGGTCCCTCAGTCGAGCAGTGAATTTCAAACACAGATTCACGGCAGGTAGCTTAGTGGGTAAGAGCGTTGTGCCAGTAACCGAAAGGTCGCTGGTTCTAATCCCCGAGCCGACTAGGTGAAAAATCTGTCGATGTGCCCTTGAGCAAGGCACTTAACCCTAATTGCTTCTGTAAGTCGCTCTGGATAAGAGCGTCTGCTAAATGACTAAAATGTAAATGTAAATGTAAACCAAAGACCAGGGAGGTTTTACAATGCCTCGCAAAGAAGGGCACCTATTGGTAGATTAAAAATATCCCTTTTAGCATGGTGAAGGTACTAATTACACGTTGGAT